TCATTCTGTCCTGGATGTGTTTTGAAATACTCCTGGGAAAAAAGTGGGCAGGGATGAAACAAGACGTCTACTTTTGTGTTCAACTGACATTTCCACAATTAAAAAAAAAAAAAGAAAAATTTAGAAATGTCATCTATGGTTGTATTCACTCCTTTTTTTTTTTTTCTTCTCTACTTTGGTTTCTCTCCTGCTGGAACTTTTGCAGTTAAAAGTCATTTTGCACGTAACTGTGCTCTGTTTTTTTTTTTTCCGATTATATTTTCTTCATTAGCTAGAGTTAATGTTTCATATTTCCTGCATCCTTTACATTCCTTAGCGACCACTCCCCAGTACTGGGCAAGTTAAAAGTGCTCAAGAAGTACTTATTGGCTACTTTATAAAAAAATAAAAAGTGAAAAATAGCCAGTGGCTTTCTAAAAACTGCATTTTAAAGATTTTATTTATTTGAGAGCGAGAGACAGTACATGGGGCGGGGGGGGGGCAGCAGACGGGAAGGGGAAAGGGAGGGAGGGGGAGAGAAAGAGAGAGGTAGAGATAGAGAATCTCAAGCAGACTCTGCACTGAGCACAGAGCCCAACACGGGTCTTGATCTCACGACTGTGAGATTATGACCTGAGCCGAAATCAAGAGTCGGATGTTTAACCGACTGAGCCACCCAGCGGCACCTAAAACTGCATTTTAAAATATAAACACTTTTTAAAAATAGTAGCTCTCTAAATACTCCCAATCTGAAAAGTTAAGTATTATTTTATATATATATTTCTTAAAGATTAAGACCTGAGATGAGATCAAGAGTCAGAAGCTCAACCTACTGGGCTACTCAGGCACCCCTGCATATACTTTAAAGGACATGTCTCCAAGGAAACAGGATTGGAACTCAACCAAACCTAAATCAGCATCCAGTTTTATAGGCAAAGTTTCCACATAGGAGGCTTCAGTGTCTTTCTTGTTTGGAGATCAAGGGAACCTCAAAAGGTGGCTCACTGTCTAAATGTCTTACAGAGGAAAGCCAACTCACCAGCTCAGTGAAAACTGCCCCGCCATATCCAATCTGGCACTGGTCCCTGCAAGGGGAAGAATAGGAGTCCTTCTTAAGACTGGGCTCAGCAACCTCAAGCAGGGTATTAAGCCGCTTTGGGGCTCAGTTTCTTCCTCTGTAAAATGGGGTGATGCTTGCTCTAAGTAGCTTTGGACCTGAGTCCATTTATGTAACGTGCCTTGCACAAAGTAGGTTCCCTGTGAATGGTGGTTACTCCTTAGTTGCTAATTCCTTGCTTCCTCAACTAAAGGCGCTGAGTGCTAGGATGCAAACTCCCAATGTGGAGTCCATGAACAGGATAATGGTGTCAGTCGTAAGTAAAGACCCTGCAGCCTCCCTCCCACCCCTGCACAGAAAGAGGAAGTTTTCCCCTAGAGATCTGTAAATATCCTAACAACAAGATCCAGGGTAAAATCCTTCTGAGGTGAGAGGGGGAAGCGATGGAGGCAGAGTTGTGCAGCATTCAGCTTCTGTCACCGGGCCAAGATCTGCAGCTAAGTGAAATTCCAATGTTTCTAACATTCGATTGTAGATATCAAGATGACAATATAATGATGATGGTGATGAAGGGCAAAGCCATTGCGTCAACATCTTCCTTTAGCTGTCCTCACACCTGTGCTCAGGCACATAGTGGCTAAAGTAGAAAATGGCCAAGGGGCGCCTGGGTGGCTCAGTCGGTTAAGCGGCTGCCTTCGGCTCAGGTCATGATCCCAGGGTCCTGGGATCGAGCCCCGCATCGGGCTCCCTGCTCAGCAGAGAGCCTGATTCTCTTTCTCTCTGCCTGCCGCTCTGCCTACTTGTGCTCTCTGTCAAATAAATAAATTAAAAAAAAAAAAAAAGAAAGAAAATGGCCAAAACTGCCTTTAAAAAAATTGCCACAGATGTTCTGGAAAGCTTGACCATCCTGAGCTACTAGTTTGAAAGATAAAGGCAAAATTTTGGAACTCCATCCTCCACTACATTTTATAATTATAAATCTCTTTTCTTGTTAGAACAAAAAACTAAGATAATTTTAATTCTTTCATAAAAAGGAAAGCTGAAAGCTGGTTCAATTTGCCTTTTATTCATTGACTGATTCATTCACTATTGATAAAGTGAAAGAACTACCTTTCTTTTTAAGTTATCTCCACATCCAACATGGGGCTTAAACTCACAACCCCGAGATTAAGAGTGACGTGCCCTATGGACTGGGCCAGCCAGGCGCCTCAAAGAACTACCTTTAATTTCATCTATCTCCCCTCTATCAAAGGAAGTAAGCCTCAGATCTGAAAACGTGACATACCCAAGGCTACTGAATGCCTACATATAGATGGTCATAGGATCATGTTCTACATGTCCAGAAGAGCATATGCTCACCCTCGGGTCTTCCAAGCAATGAAGCTGCATGTCCAAGAAGCGAAATGCTGAGAACAGTCAGAAGATATCTGGCCCTGGCCTTCCAAAAGAAAAAGCTAGATGTTGAGAAATATATACCATCCTTGGAAAATCTGGCTCAGTTGAGTTCTTAGAAAAGAAAGCCATCACCACTCTAAGTCCACACTGGTTCAGTGTCTTACCCAACTCTTCCAAAAGGGGAGCAGGGTTAATAAATTGGGGCAATGCCTTCCGTCACAAGATACTGATATTTTCCAAGATATGTGACAGTGTCTATTAAGGATTTAATGGACATGATACAGAAGTCTAGGTGTGATAGTAGATATGCTCAGCTATATAAACCCAAGAGTATCAATGAAAGAATTTAAGAGGGTCTGACAGGAGGGCATCTATCTCAAAGCAGGCCACACAGACTTGGTCCAGTCCCTTCTGGTATATTTATGAATGTCTATATAGACAGCAGCCTTATAAATATTCAAATAATGCTAATCCAGGAGAGATGCCTAGTGCGAAGATTAAGAAAAAAACTCAGCAAAATGGTAATTTAGTAAGGATAAGTGTAAACCTGCACCTATATTTAAGGAATGAACACTGTAACCCTTTCAAGTGGCAGATAGGTAATCTCATATAATCAACATAAAATGTTAAAGATGACTTTGTGATTTATAGACACAATGAAATTTGTCTCTGCTTTAGTGAATCGAGTGGTCTGAATTCCAGCCCCAATTAACGGCTGAGATTTCAGTTAATACCAAGGGGAGGGGTGGGGGAGCTGTTTTGAGACTACCGAACTTCCAAAAACTGTAGGTGCATTTATATGGTCCTCTATCTTTTGGTTTCTCATAATCTGTCCAGTTTTGTTTTTTGGTTTTTTTTAAAGCTTTTATTTATTTATTTGAGAGAGAGAATGAGAGAGAGAGAGCATGAGAGGGGGGAGGGTCAGAGTTTGGAGAAGCAGGCTCCCTGC